TAACTAAACCTTTACCCCCCAACTCAGACAAGACAACAGTTAGGCCATGTTCGTTTCTCCATCCAAATGAACCATCTAGATGAATCATCCAGATGATGTTCGTTTAACACTAAAAAAAACATTATCTATGATCATCCAAATGATCCATCTGGATGAATTTTAAAATTATAGGCAAAATTTTGAAAATTATTTGGATGACTTTGTTTGGAGCATTTGGATAGAGATGATTCATCCAAAAATGACAAATGACAAATATACCCTTATTATCCAAATATCCTATTTGTCCACAAAAATTATAAAAAGTTTTTTTTGCAAATATCTCATATTTTATTTGTTAAAAGAAATAAAATAAATATTTCCTCCAAAAACGCAAAATCACGTTTTCCCGCCAAAACGAAAAATTCATGTTTTCTCGCCAAAACGAAAAAATCATTTTTCCGCTTAAATTAAAAAATCACGTTTCCACTAAAATGAAAATCATGTTTTCCCGCCAAAACAAAAATATCATATTTTCCCGCCAAAAACGCAAAATCATGTTTTTCCTCCAAAAATTAAAAGAAATATTTTTCCGCCAAAAACGCAAAACAACGTTTTGCCGCCAAAAATATAAAATGACATTTTTCTGCCAAAACAGCAAAATCGTGTTTTCCCGCCAAAACAAAAAAATCATGTTTTCCCGCCAAAAACGCAAAATCATGTTTTCCCACCAAAAAACGAAAAATCATATTTTCTCGCCAAATTTTTCTTAAAAAAAATTCCCACCCAAAAACGCAAAATAACGTTTTTCCGTCAAAATCGCAAAACACGTTTCCCGCCAAAAACACAAAGTCATGTTTTTGAACCAAAACCGTAAAATGTTTTAAATCTTATAAAAATTATATTTCATGAAATAAATAATTTAAATGTCAAAATATTAATTTATAATTTTTTGGTGTTTATTTTTTAATCATTAACTAAAATTACTATAATTAATATTAATGTGAAAAAATTAGAGCAATACATGGGTATTTTAGTCATTTTTAAAATCTAACCCACCTAGATGAAGATGCAAAATGGAGAAACAAACACATATTCATTCAAATGGATCATCTAGATGAATCTTTTTATTTTTTGTTCGTTTAGTCATCTAGCATTCAGATGAATCCATCTGAATGGATCATCTGGATGGAGATCCAAAATGGAGTAACGAACAAGGCCTTACACGAAAATATAGTAATGAATTTGTGAAAATAGTTTCCATTTTAAACCATGTGATCCATTTTTTATTTTTTTGACTAAATAAATATGCAGCCTGATCTTATATTTATTAATCCAAGAAAATACATTTATTCGAATAGTAGTGGTCCATTTCTTAACCTTTCTTGTCTGACCACTGCTGTCCTTTTATTTACTATACTCTTATAAAACGAATATTATTTAAAAATGGAAAATTTTCATATACTGATTTTTAATTTCATTATTATTTTTTGGATGCTATACAAAAATACAAAATATATAGCAATTTATTTTTTTTCTTTTGTTATTAGAAAAAATATCAATGCAGCAGATCTGAACGTGACAAGAAAATCAAAATGCATGAGTGTATGTTAGATTCTTGATTTTAATACTGGAGGGCCTCTCTGCCTTTTAATGATCCAATACGCAAAGCATATTTATATATATATATATATATTTTGCTGTCGAATACATTTTGACAGTCTCTGTGTCAATGTCATGTTTATAATTTATATTTGCACGCATGATGTAACTTTTTTCTGTCATGCATGCATACATACATATACATAAAATTGCAAAAATAACAAAATATTATTTGATATATATATATACCCAAATTTTAATTACATTCTTTTGCAGAAAAAATGTAAATAAGTTGGTTCATTTATCGCAATGTTTTTCGCTATTAAAAAAAATTGTTAATTTCTCGGATGATACATAACTTTACATGAATGATATCACATTTTATTTTATTTTTTGAACACCGAATGATATCACATTTTAAGTTGTTTTTTTTTTTTTGGTTTAAATATCACATTAACGTTATTTACTTAAATCACACACAACAAAGTAAACATGCTATTTTCTCGTATGAATCATAAGTTTGAGATTAATTGGTATCACGTCCATTTAGTTGGTTTATAAGACGCAAAATTTGATATTATACCAAACCAGGTTAGTTAATCGATAGTTAATTTCCAAAATTCCATTAATCTTACTCTCAGTAAAGAGAAATTAAATGGGGTTTAGACAAATATTAATCGAAATAGCATTTGAACAATGACAAATGGCAAACTTCTCACTAAATTAGGTCATTGTAAAATGGCAAACTTCTCACTATACTAGGTCAAAATATATGTTCGAATCGATGACAAAAATATATATATATTTATATGTTCGAATGTTACATTGTTTCCATAGATATCTAACATTTGTAATGCTAATTGAATCGAATGGATTGGAATAGAAAAAGATTGAAAAACCAACTTGTTGGAGGGGTTTGGGTCCTATATGACTTTTATATTGTCTAAGAATGAGAAGAGAGGTCGGTCCCATATGAATGGTACTGGGCTTTGGGCCAATCTGTGCATTACAAGAATTTAGCGATCGTCGAATCCGATGAGTACCCCATCACATACAATGATACAACCATATACTTCATGACCAAACAAATAGGTCCCCTCACTAAAACCAATTGTTTCAATATTCTCGGCCTCACATACATTATTACTACATATGAACATATGCCTAAATGTTTATTTTTGGGAATTTTACCAAGCACTTGTTAAGATATAAGGATCGTATACTGAAATGCTAGCTATGACTATGATCGTCTATGACCCTATATATGAATAATGTAAAGCTTATTGCGTACCTAACCCATATAAAAATATTTGATATAGGTCATGTTTGATTCATAATCATAAGCAGCTATAATACATACAACGTTACATACTTACATGTGTCGACAAAATAGCTACGTACGCTTATATGTATGCATCCAATATTATAAATAATTAACTACATAATAATTGAATTGGATAGAGAGAATAGAATGATGGGAGAGAACAGTGATGGTGCACAATCGTTTGGAATAATTAATAAGAGAGCATAGATCCGTCGTATCTTTTTGTTGTCTTATCTCTCTGTGAACTATGAAGTGTGGCCTCTCATATTTTACACTAGGCCTAGGCCTGGGCGTTCGGATATCGGATCGGGTTCGGTTCGGATTTTTCGGTTTTCGGATTTTTTGGATATTGATTCTAACATCCATTCGGATATTTATAAAATTCGGTTCGGTTTCGGTTTGGATATTTCGGATTTCGGTTCGGTTTGGATATAACTGTGATAATTAAATTTTAACAAAAATTTATTGGATTCGGTTTTATTTGGATATTTTTAAATCCAATTATACTCAAATAATCCATACTATCCAAGTATATATAAAAATAGAAATGAGGCAAATGACAAGTTCAAAGAACCAACTAACATAATACCATACCAATATATAAAATTGAAGCATAAAACTGTGTCGATGCATAAAAGCTTTAAATAAACCAAACTAAATCATAAATTCATAATGAAAAAGTAGCAAAATTCAGTGACATCCTAAATCAATTAAAAATAATTTTTCATCCGTTATGCGGCAAACGTATATATCCTAAAGATATTAAAGTATATATTGTATATATCCTAAAGATATTAAAGTATATATTATAAGTTTGGTTATATATGGATATCTATTGGATATTGGTTCGGATCGGGTTTAATCCGATATCCAAAAATAATGAAAGCTAACAACCGATCGGTTATTTTTCCAATATCGGTTCGGTTTTAATCCAATTTTTTCGGTTCGGTTCGGTTCGGATTTTCGGATTCGGATTTTATGCCCAGGCCTATTTTACACATGTACATTTTATTTTCTTTTGTGCAAAAATATGCATTCACATAAGTAGTAATTGATAATTTGTTTTAAGCCAACACAATTTTTCCTCACTAAATACAATATATCTACAATTTATTTTGTTTATTTTAACTCCAAATGACAACCACATTTGAATATTCTTATTTTTTATTCTTTAGACATTTGGATATTTTTAAATTTTTCAAAACCAAATATTTTAAAATTTATAATATTGAATTTTATTAATTAAATCTAAAAAAGGGAAAATGGTCAAATTAGTCAAAGAAGCCAACATCAATTAATAAAAAACCTACTGTGTTTCCTTGAGACTTGAGAGCGTGTAAAGTTACAAAGTGATGGATTGCTTGAGTATTTTATATACATCAGATGTTATGATCATAGTGTTAAAAGAAAGATCAGCAAAAATGAAAGCAGTCGTTATAAAAGAATAACAATAATTAAAATTTATCGCTTACCATTTTCAACTGGATATCTATTGTATTTTTTATGTTGTTTGTTGAACACTCTTTTGTAATTTTTTCTATATTAATCAAATTAAAATCAGAACTATTTACAAATAAACAGTCATACATTTAAACTGAACTTAAGCTGCACAAAATTTCAACTGAATTAATGTTATTTTACAACACGTTGAAAAAATTGTTATAGTTTTGGATTTCAAATTGTATTGTATTTTACACGTTGAGTTATTGCTATGATTATTGATTATGAATTGTATGTCTACATATATTGTTTTTTTTTTTGACAAAACATATATTGTTTTAAGATTTGCTTTTATAAAATTTTCAATATCTTTTGTATTTTCTTTTTAAGTTCGAAATTTATTTGCAAATTTTTTTTGTAACACGGACAGATTTTTGAATTTTTCCAAAAGAAAAATACTTAAATTTAACTACTTAATCACGGATATGATGTAGCCGTAACAAAATAAACAAAGAAAATCCTAAATGGGCTTTTGGACAGAATGTCAAATCCACAATCATCGATGACAGAACCGTAAACATACCAAAGAACCGGGTTTTTAGGTTCTGTGTCGGTTATTGATATATGATTTAGCAGCCGTCATAAGAATATGGCTCATAAAATCATTGCGAGTCCATTTCCACAAAGCGATCTGAGTTTAAAGATCATACATTTCTTCCAAATTTGAAAACTTGTAATGAACGAACATATGACAAAAGCCACAAAAGCCACAAAACCCAGAAATCTTTTTTGGTTTTGCTGTCTTCTAATGGCGTTTTTGTTTGCTTATTCTGCATCTGTCCAGCTTAATGATCCTGGTATTCAAAATCTTCTTCATCTATGATCTCCCTCCAAGATTATGTAAATTTTCATTCTTTTTGTGTGTTTCTGCAGATTGGTACTTTTGGTTTCCTCTATACACACTGGCTTGTGTAGTTAATCTGATTAACTGCAAAAGAAGAATCAAACAAATGATGGTGAGAACAGCTTTAGGCTTGGGTCTGTTCTTGTTAGTTAAAGTTGTTGCAGAGGATGTGATTACAGAGAAAGTTGGAGTCTTGTCTTTGGATCTTACTCATAGAGTGGTTAGAGAGAAGGTTGGAAGTGGTTTGGTGATAGCTTCCATGGTTTTGCAACTACAACAAGCTTCTTCCACAAAACCCATTGACTTTGGTAAGAACAAGAAGAAAGAAAGATTCAATCTTTAAAAAAAAGTTTGGAACTTTGATTTGTTCTTAATGATGTCAGGGATGGTTGCAATAGTAATCTTTGGCTATGGACTTCCCTTTTGGTTCTTCACAGTTATGAAAGGAGAAATCAAGATTTGAAGGAGGCTAATCAGAATGAATAAACCAAAGCTGTCTAAGGTTCAATGGAGAAAAAGGTAAGAGTCTGAAGAAAATTTATTACAAGAAATCTGTAAAGAATGTTCCTAGGAACCAAAATCTAACACAATAAACGACCTCTGCAGTTAGTTGCTTTACAATGACAAGGGTGGTCAGTTTCTTGTCCAGATGTTACCAGCCTGCGACCATAGTCTCGAGTGATCTCTTCTCCTGCAGCTATCTGTGTTACGCGCATGACAAAGAGATCAGTTCAGGTCAACCACTATGATACATCTTTCAAGCAAGAGAGAAGAAGGGCCTTACATCCATACTGGCATATAGACCGATATGAGCGAGAGGGGACTCCATGCTTTTCACAATAACTTGGTGATTCACGAGATTTGGCGAGCAGCTAGAGATGAAAACAGATTGAAATCAACAGTCTATGTAGTATAATGCAAAAGTTTTAGTTTTGTTTTTAAAACACACCTGTGATTGATGTACCGAGAAATGTTGCCATGAGTAGTAGCATCCATAGCATAATCAGACTCTCCTTCCATCAATCTACCGATATCGTTCATATTAGCATCAATTTCCTGTATGTAGCTGCAACCTTCTTTACCATACCTATGAAATCAAAAGCAGGAGTTTAAGTTTTGCTCCAAATCTTAGATGCCGGAAGTCAAAAAGGTGAATATATTAAAGAAAATGTTATGTACTGGTTTCGTCTCTTGTTTGCTTCTTGCTGATCAATAACCTCCCCAATGAATTCACAAACAAATGTGCCACGGAGTATATGTTCACAAGCTCGCAATCCCCATCCCTGTGGATCAACCAGTTATGGATATTGGAATTGAAGTAAGAAAGATGGAAGAAAGGCAATGAATCAAAAAGGACCGCACCTTGTTTTCAGTTTTAAAAACTTCTAGTTTAACGCGAATTCCATTCTGCAAAACCCGATTCTGACATGTTCTAGAGCATCCGCAGAGCTCATTGCATTCATAAACAGGATAACCTTCCTGTAACATATTCAGAATTAACAACAACAATCACATGGTGTTATGCCAGAAAAAGAGGATCAGCGAATATGTTGTCTAGTAGGAACAAGATCAAAATTTACTAGAACATTACTTTAACAGAGAAGTAAGACTAAAATTTACCTCCAAGATGATCCGTTGTTTGTCATCATATGGGAATCTACACCTCATGGATTTGCCATATATGTCTCTAGCGTCCTCAAAATCGTTACCAAAAAGGTACACGTGATCACAAGTTACAGGTGAGCACATTGAACTGCGACAGCCACACCTGAGTTGCAGATTCTGCATCATTAATAGCGGACAAAAAATAAGGTTACAACATGGAGTTACAATTTTGTCTCAAGGATACAACGAGCTACAACAAGTAATACCTCCTTTACGAGATCCATTGATGGATGAAGTATTGATTTTGTAACATAACTAAAGCTTTCCCAAGGCCTCTCATGTGACTTTTCGGAATCCAAAAGATCATCCTCGACAACACAAATTGGAACTGGTTCCTTACCAAAGCTTATGTCATTGCACAAAACTGTGGTATTTCCAAACGGTCTCTTACTAAAATGATGAGCCTCCATGATACAATGGCACTCATCCACTTCCAACTCGGTATTAGAATGTTCTCCAGCCTCCATAGCTATTCCTAATCTATCATTCCCTTGTCGCGTTATCAAGGGATGTAGAAGATTTGAGTCTTTAACAGACTTACATCCGTTAGAGCATATGTATCCTTCCTGATGCCATTTCACTTGTACACCTTGCTCACCACAAAGTTTTGCTGCCTTGAGATATATACGCTCAGGCAAATTCCCAAATTTAGCCTCCAAAGACATCTCAAGGCTCACCCTACAGCAAGCTGATCGAGCAGCAGCCATGATATCAAGGTTATTAGGGCGATGTTTCGCTTTCTGAACCTTTGACAACAATATATTCGAAACCACTGCGCAATGAGCATCTTCTGTGCCATCAAAGTTTCTACTATCACTTGGAGGCGGCGATACTCCAGTGTTTCCTTCCGTGCCGAGCGATTTCGAACCTTGCATCCTCCTCTTTATATTTACACCAGCCCGGTTTCTAATCCTATATGAGACTGCTCCAAGACTTTTCTTGAATTTATTTGGACGACTAAGCCTACCAGATTTCATCCTGTAGGTATTAAACCTTAAACCTTTCTTTGGACCACGGGCACCAACTAGATTCGGTCCCATGTGTTCGGCTTGATGGTGGCGGCCAAGGTCAGGTAATAAATTGAATTTCAGCCCACAGAACTTGCAAACAAATTTATGTACGCCGCTTGTATTCTCATTGTTTTGGCTCAAGACGATTTGTGAACTGCCTGCTTCAGGATTTTGAGAAAACTCACCATTAGTCAAATTATACTCAGGAACAACCGTTAGGGATTTGCATTCAGAAGGATGCACAGCTTGCACATGTAATAGCAACTGATCTTTATCTCCAAAATGGCTGCCACAAGGAATACACTGAAGAAGCATACACTTTTCCGCAAACTGCACGTGATGTCTCTCTTCCACATGAGTTTCCAAAAGCCTTTTGTTCACAAAAGAATCTAAGCAAATAGCACAAGCAAATCCACTAAATGACCATTTATCTTTGTCTGTGGTATCTTCTCCATCACCAGAGGCATTGGTGATGGCAAGCAGTTGGTTAGGAGAGTCATATAATAATGATGCATCTTCTTGATCAGCACCAGTACCGAAACCCCATATCCTAGATAATCTCTCCCTTTCATGGGATACTAACTTCATCAAGAATTCCCCAACTCCAGCGTCAGTGTTTCTTGAAGCTTCTGTTTTCGCCCAATCAAGCTGCACTTCCATTGGAACAGAGTTTCTCAAAGATAAGACACTTTTGAAGAGCTTGTAGAAAATATCACAAGCTTGATGTAGACCCAATTTTTCCTCACGCGATAAACAACCCCTTAAGAGATCTATAAACACCTCTTTCGATATAATTCGACTCTTACCATTCCTTGCACGTTTGAGCCAGTTAGGAAGGTGTTGTTCACAGTATAATGAGTGCTTTGTCGAGAACTCATTGCAAGGAACATAGCTGTTTTCTGAGCAAGAACCTACACACAAGTTATCCTCTTGGCTACAACGTTCAAACATCTCACTGAAGCTCGTGGCTCCATGGGGCTCATATTTCTCGAAAGATGAACCTTCTGGTTCTCCAAAAGGCACCAAATCTTGACAGTGATTTATTTCTAAGGTTGACATAATTTCCGGTACCTTTCTCTTCACCAGAATAGATGAAGAATTATCAGGCTTCATTATCCCTGTTTGAGGGCGGTGTTTCTTGCAGAACAACAATCCGGGTAGAGATCGGTGCTTGCATTTGGTACCAAGAACAGTAACTCCTCCGCACATTGGTGCTTCAACTGCAGGAGAGCCCTCGTTCTTCATAGAATTGGTAGTGAAACGAGAAGCTAAATGCACACAACAATATACATCACCTTCATTCGCCCACCTCACACATTGCCTTCCTTTTGATTCAATGAAAGCTGTGCATTGCTGACTCTTATTTCCCGAACCAAAAGGTTTCTTCAGAACTGATTCGTTTATGTGTGGATCTTGTCGGTGAGATAATCCATTAACTTCTTTTGTTTTCATGAGTTGTGAACCAGCCGCTTCAACAACAATGCCATCCCATAGGTCCAAACCATTTGCTGGTGCATTCGTTATCGGATTTTCTTCTTTCATCACCTCAGGAGTATTTGTGTTGCCTGGAGAACAAAAAGGCTCCGAATCCATTGCTGCTAATTCTTGTGGTGAAGTTTCAGTAACCATCTGTGATGCATTTGTTGTCTCTGCACGTCGTATCTCAAGTTTTGGTCTTTTATGGCTAGTCTGAACATCTGAGTTAAACACGTTTTCACCATTCTGCTGTGCTATCTCGCCAATACTACGGCGGGATATCGAGAACCACTTCGCAATGTCATGCTTCCATGTTTTCCACTCCGACAACACCATTGTAGTCTCAGAAACTGATTTGACTTCATTCCACTTGATACAACTGTCAAATTCCTAAACACAACCAGATAAAATGGAGTTAGTTAAGAAAAACATGTCTGACCAATACGTAATCAGTTTCCGGCGAAGCCATTACCTCATTGAGCAATTCAATACTCTCGGCATTCACTGCATTGTTACATTTTTGTACCCACAAAGAAAATGAGTTCTCAAGCCAGATGGGATCCATGTATCGTTGCAAGATCATCTGAACAACAACATGACACAAAGCCAAGACATTATTACAGAAGAATCAAACCAAAAACAAAAATAAATACTCAAAACATTAACAGCAAGAGAGAATCTTACACTATGAAGCTTCACAAGCATGATTCCAAGATCATGATAACTTGTACTTCTAGTAGCCTCCATTGCAAATTCTTTCCATATTATTATATCTCTAGCTGATTCAGCTACAACCTGCAACATCGAATGCAATCTAAATACTTCCACTGGGGACAGGTGCACAAACATCATAATCAAATGCAATCTAAATACTTTTTTATATCAAATTCTTAAAATTCCAAATTATACCTCCAAGGGGAACTGGTCAACTATATTGAACATCCCAACAGTAAGCTTACGCATGATATAACGTCGAGCAGCAGTCAAATCTTTAACCAATTTAAGTCCAATTTTGTGTGACTTGTAAGCAATAGGATCAGGAAACTCATTGATGGACCGAACAAGCTGCATATCCGCCCACGAGTGATTCTTCGTATGCGGGAAAAATATCACACAATACTTTTTTCTATCATGAGTCGGTTTCCCTCTCAAAGTCGTTAATGGCCAATCCGCTTTGGCACATCTGATTCCAGCCTGCCATTTCCCTCTCCACTATAACACCAAAACATTAACCATATGAAACAAGAAAATTCAAGATTCCAAATTCTTGAAAGCGATAAATTCGTCTTTATTTACCTTCACCCACAAAGCAATAGGTTCATCTTGCTGCAGCCATTTAGGCTCAGAAGGAGACGACTCGCCTCCTTCGACACTATTACCAATAGGTCCAGTAACTTCCATAACAGTAACAGAATCATTACTACGCTTCACCGCGTTTAAACCATCCTCTTCCTGCTCAGATTTCACCAACAGTTCACTACCTGCTCCTGCTGCCTCCTCAACATCCATATCAAGAACCAATTCATCCATTTCAACTTCCATAACTCACCAC